TAACTAAAACTAACAATATTTTCTCAATACATATTTCTATTTTGTGGTAACAGTTATTGCTATTAGCCTTTCAATTTTTGATTCGTATTCCTATACATATTTCGAATTGCGTAAAATGTCCTATTGTTATATGTATTCTATACTTTTATTACTTAAATACTTAATTAAGAAACGTTACTTTTAAGTACGTTAGAACTTCTTATATACCATGTAAATATATTATACATACATATGTATGTACATATCTAAAATCCCTTGTGAAAAATACCATATAACTTAATGTCATAGTTATAAATAATTTTCGAGTTGTTATCAATAAATATCTAATATTTAATGATATTTACTCATCGTATATTTTGTATAAAATATTACAATTTACAATTAAGTATATTTGCCATACTTCAGACTACGTAAATATTACAGAAATGTTTTAAAAATAGCTCGTTGAAATATTTAATTAGTTTTTGTTGATATTATTTGTATTTAGCAAATAATAATAATATGTAATTAAATTTAAAAAAGTGCATACCAGTATGATTACGGAAATAGCATATACTATTTAATATTTTTTTTTTTTAAATTAAATATTAAAATAAATAATTGCATGTTGAAAAGGTTTTAAAGAATGTTATGTTAAAATTGCAGTTTATGCTATTTACATATCCCTGGCTGCATGTTTTGCAATATTATCATTCTATATTTACCTGTATTGAATATCCCATTTATGATTTGTTTTATTTGCTTTGTAAAAGATATATGTATATAGTTGATGGTGTCGTATTTTTTTTTAGCAATATTCGAAAATTAATTTGCAAAAAATGTGGTGTTCAGTATTACAAACTAAAAGAGAGGCGAAGAGAGTTGTAGACATTAATTTATATTGTTTACATATGAAATGTTTGTTTTTTTTTGTATGAATTTCTTATGTACAGTGGGAGATACTTGTGAAAGGTGAAATTTCTATTTTAAGGAATATTTGATTCGGCAAAATTTGAAAAAATTATCTTTTTATAGAAAATTTTTGATAAAACCTCTTTTCAATAAAATTGTCTTTTTAAAAAAAAAAATTCGATAAAATTGTCTTTTTAAAGAAAATTTTCGATAAAATTGTTTTTTTTATAGAAATTTTTGATAAAATTGTTTTTTTTTATAGAAAATTTTTGATAAAATTGTTTTTTTTTTTTTAGAAAATTTTCAATAAAATTGTTTTTTTATAGAAAATTTTCGATAAAATTGTCTTTTTATAAAAAAAATTGTTTTTTTTTATTGAAAATTTTCGATAAAATTTTCTTTTTCATAGAAAATTTTCGATAAAATTGTCGTTTTTATAGAAAATTTTCAATAAATTTTCTTTTCATAGAAATTTTCGATAAAATTGTCTTTTTTATAGAAAATTTTCGATAAAATTGTCTTTTTTATAGAAAATTTTCGATAAAATTGTCTTTTTTATAGAAAATTTTCGATAAAATTGTCTTTTTTATAGAAAATTTTCGATAAAATTGTCTTTTTTATAGAAAATTTTCGATAAAATTGTCTTTTTTATAAAAAATTTTCGATAGATTGCTTTTTTTTATAGAACATTTTCGATAAATTGCTTTTTTTATAGAAAATTTTCGATAAATTGCCTTTTTATAGAAAATTTTTGATAAAATTACCTTTTTACAGAAAATTTTTGATAAAATTGTCTTTTTTATAGAAATTTTCGATAAAATTGTCTTTTTTATAGAAAATTTTCGATAAAATTGTCTTTTTTATAGAAAATTTTCGATAAAATTGTCTTTTTTATAGAAAATTTTCGATAAAATTGTCTTTTTTATAGAAAATTTTCGATAAAATTGTAATTTTTATAGAAAATTTTCGATAAAATTGTCTTTTTATAGAAAATTTTCGATAGATTGCTTTTTTATAGAAAATTTTCGATAGATTGCTTTTTTATAGAAAATTTTCGATAAATTGCCTTTTTATAGAAAATTTTTGATAAATTGTCTTTTTTACAGAAAATTTTCGATAAAATTGTCTTTTTTACAGAAAATTTTCGATAAAATTTTCTTTTTATAGAAAATATTCTATTAAATTGTTTTTTTTATTGAAAATTTTCTATAAAATTGTTTTTTTTTATTGAAAATTTTCTTTTTTATTGAAAATTTCGATAAAATTGTCTTTTTATAGAAAATTTTCGATAAAATTGTCATTTTCATAGAAATTTTTCGATAAAATTGTCATTTTCATAGAAATTTTTCTTTTTCATAGAAAATTTCCGATAAAATTGTTTTTTTATAGAAATTTCGATAAAATTGTCTTTTTTATAATAAATTTTCGATAAAATTGTCATTTTCATAGAAAATTTTCGATAAAATTGTCATTTTCATAAAAAATTTTCGATAAAATTGTCATTTTCATAGAAAATTTTCTTTTTCATAGAAAATTTTCGATAAAATTGAATTTTTTATAGAAAATTTTCAATAAAAATTTCTTTTATTTATTGTCTTTCGATTGCCTTTTATAGAAAATTTTTCATAAAATTGTTTTATTATAAAAATTTTTCGATAACAAAGTTTTTTTTATAAAAAATTTAAAAAATTTTCTATTTTTATAGAATATTTTCTATAATTTTCTTTTTATAGAAAATTTTCGGTAACATTTTTTTATTTATAGTAATTTTTCGTTAAAAATTTTCTTTTCTTTCTTCGTTTTAGAATTTTTTGTATATTTATTTCTTTTAATAAAAGTTTAAATAATATTAATAAATTTTTTTTGAATTACACAATTTTATATTTTTTTCACCCACTGTACACAAGTCGTCATATACATATTAAGTGCTTATTTCAATTATTCTTTTTTTCTAATTTTATTTTGCTGATTTTGTTTATATTATTATAGTATTTTTTTTATTGAAAATTTTCTTTTTTATTGAAAATTTCGATAAAATTGTCTTTTTTATAGAAAATTTTCGATAAAATTGTCATTTTCATAGAAATTTTTCGATAAAATTGTCATTTTCATAGAAATTTTTCTTTTTCATAGAAAATTTCCGATAAAATTGTTTTTTTATAGAAATTTCGATAAAATTGTCTTTTTTATAATAAATTTTCGATAAAATTGTCATTTTCATAGAAAATTTTCGATAAAATTGTCATTTTCATAAAAAATTTTCGATAAAATTGTCATTTTCATAGAAAATTTTCTTTTTCATAGAAAATTTTCGATAAAATTGAATTTTTTATAGAAAATTTTCAATAAAAATTTCTTTTATTTATTGTCTTTCGATTGCCTTTTATAGAAAATTTTTCATAAAATTGTTTTATTATAAAAATTTTTCGATAACAAAGTTTTTTTTATAAAAAATTTAAAAAATTTTCTATTTTTATAGAATATTTTCTATAATTTTCTTTTTATAGAAAATTTTCGGTAACATTTTTTTATTTATAGTAATTTTTCGTTAAAAATTTTCTTTTCTTTCTTCGTTTTAGAATTTTTTGTATATTTATTTCTTTTAATAAAAGTTTAAATAATATTAATAAATTTTTTTTGAATTACACAATTTTATATTTTTTTCACCCACTGTACACAAGTCGTCATATACATATTAAGTGCTTATTTCAATTATTCTTTTTTTCTAATTTTATTTTGCTGATTTTGTTTATATTATTATAGTATTTTTTTTATAAATACAAATAACAGAAATACATATCACTTTTATAATAAAAACTAAAATATTTGTAAAAAAGTCCCTTATTCGAAAACCGGTTATACAACTATAATTTAAAGTTGCAGTTCAAAACACACGCGAAATGTATTATGGAAATTAAATTTCTAGAATTTAATGTTTAATAAATAACAAGTACTTTGTAGTTTTGTTATGGACTGTTTAATAATAAAATTATTGTGATAGCTTCTTGTTGTAAACTTTGTTAGTTTTTGTGGACAATTTTAATGGTTTCTACCAAATATTATCATACGTTATTGTATGTTCTTTAAAATTTGCATATATAATTAATTTTATTTTGTTTGAAATTAGCATAATTTTTATATTTCACTGTATTCTATATCGCAAAATTTCACACCTTTACATTTCACTCCGCCGTGTCCGTTGCTTTCTTTAGTTTTATACAGTTTTAGAACACTTTTTGTGTTTTCATTTCTTTAATTCTTTTTTAGTGTAATTTTATTGTATTTTTTTAATGTTAGTTAATTATTTTTGTTTTTGTTTAAAACTTTTGTTTTTTTTATTACTTTAACAATCCGTCGTTTTAAATAAGCAACAAATCGCAATGAAGTGAAGAGAGTGAGTGAATGACAGTTTTAAAAATTTGTATTTTATTTAGCGGCATTTGACTCTTTCTTCTTTACCAGTGTCGCCAGATGTGGGGATTTCAAGTTTTAATTGGGGAAAGATTTTCGTGGTGATGGATTTGGGGATTTTTTATAATCAAATTAGGGTTCTATAGTTGAAACGAAAAGTCGACTTTTCGACTTTTTTCATTTAGTTAAAAGTCGACTTTTTGCATTTTATGAAAAGTCGATTTTTCGACTTTTTTCATTTAATTAAAAGTCGACTTTTAGACTTTTCGACTTAAGTATTTTATAAATAGTCGACTTTTTCCGACTTTTCGACTTTTTGACTTTTTCGACTTTTTCGACTATTTTTTCCACTTTTTTAAAATTTTAGACTATTTTTGACTTTTTTCTACAATTTTCAACATTTTCCAACATTTCGGCTTTTTCCGACTTTTTTCGACTTTTTCCGACTTTTCGACTTTTTCCGACTTTTCGACTTTTTTCGACTTTTATTAAAAAAGTCGACTTTTTTCACAGACGATAGTCGAGTTATCGACTTTTTTGGAACAAAATAGTCGACTTTGACTTTTCGACTTTTTTCGACAATTGTTCGATTGTTCGATTATTCGAAAGTCGATTTATAGAACCCTAAATCAAATGATTATATTTTATATAAGGTCAAAATTTTTCTGGTAACACTGTTCGTTCATGATGCATATTGAAATTGCCTTGCAAATTCAGAGAGTTTCAAAAACTGCTGCGACCTAACAGACTTAGCTGCGCTCGACACACAAGTTTTTGTGCACAGCAAAGGTTTAATTTTACACTGACTACCAGACTCTCAACTATATTCAATGATGATGTTTTTTTGGGAAAACTTTGGGGATTTCAATTAAAAAAATGTTGATTTTTTGGGACTTCCAGACTAAGATTGGGGACATGAGTCAAAATTTTTCTGGCAACACTGTTCTTCACCCTTTCTCCAGTTGTTTGTCTAACGCAATTTTTAATCACTTAATGTTTTTATCATTATTTATTGTTGTATTGGTTTCTTTTGTTTTTTTTTTATTTCAGCAAAAGCTTTTTTTTATTAATAAAAGCTTCCAGTAAAGTTGTGTGTTACAAAAGCTGGATATAGGCAAAGACATAACTAGATAGAGCGGAAACTCTGAATAAAGTTTAAATACAAAAAAAGCTGAAATATTTATAACGTGCTTTTTTAACCCTCGATTTACGCGATACTTTATATAACAATAACATCGTGTTGTATAACACATGCCCAAACCTTCAATTATGCGAATAAATCTACAGATTTTTAATAAAAAAAAGAAATTTACGAGGTTGCCCGATCAACTAGTTAGTAGTGTACTAACTTATCAGTCTTGTCGGTTCGATTCCCAATTTAGGGATTTACATTTATTTATGCAGAATTATATCGTGATACTCGTGTTTATAAGTGAATTATTGATCTTCAAAAAAGCTCTTTTCTTGGACCAGTTGTATGGGGCTTCGCTCCCTGGGTCAAGAGTGAGAGTATGTTCCGAATTTCTTCATATTATCATGAATATTGCGATCTGTAGCGTGCGCGCAAGGTTTCCATCAGCACACAGACGGACGGATATAGGTTAATCGAATCAGAGCCGATTGGTATACTTAAGGATTGATGTAGGACCAATATTTTTTAATGTTACAAACAACCTCCCGACCAATTAATTAACTTTAGTCCAAAGACATGTTAAAACATCTTTAAACGTGTTATTGGACCCTTCTAGGCCTTCGCATTAGACGTAACTTTCGGATACCCTTTTTTGTTAACCTGTGTAAATCACCCAAACAGGTTTTTATTTAAATTAAAATACCCCCTAAAGTATGTTATTAAATGGGATTATTAACACGAGTAAGTAAAGTAAACATGTTTGAATTGCTACCGAAATTGTATGGGAAAATTGATAAAGTCTATAGGTAAAATCGATAAGATACCACAAACATTTGTTATACACTTTTATATTATATCGAATCGCATTTTATATTAAACTTAAAACCATTTTATTGAACTAAGTTTTTTTACCATAAAATTATTTTTTAAAAAAAATTTGATAATGAATTTAAAATTTAAATAAAAATATTAACCAATAATTTACTAATAAAGCATTTGACTTAATATACCATTTTTATTTTAGTTAAATGTATTTATTTAAAATGCTACGCATTGCGCATGTAGGTCACAGTTGTGTTTTTAATTTCCCTCGCTAAAGCTTTTAACGGAAAAGAGTATTTTAAACTAAAGTTTGAAAACGTTTTAAAGTTTTCGGCATTTAAGAACATTGTATTACAATAGATGGCAGTAAGTACGAAAAGATATTCAAAACAACTGGACATAAGAATTTAATCAACAAAACTTTAATTTTTAGCAATATTTCAAAGTTAATGTTAATTTTATGTGAAAGTTAGTGCTACAGATTTAAGAAAATGTTATTAATAAAAAAATAACACTTTTATATGACTTTGATAGACAGATATTAAGTTCATTGTTGTGATATATATAAGTGATTTTATCTAAAAAAAAAACAATGGAAATTTTTACTTATATTAAGATTATAAATCATAATCTACTGAATAGTCAGTAGACCAGTAAATAGAAAAGTGCATAGACTTCTCCACACACTAGTACATAGAGTGGTCCATGGACTAGTCAATAAACTAGTTCATGAACCATTCAATAGACTAATACATAGACTAGACTATATTAGACTAGTCAATAGATTAGACTAATCCATTAACTAGTTAATAGACTAGAACCTTAATTATGCAATGACCTAATCCACAGAATAGTCCATAGGTTACTTAATACATTAATCCATATACTAGTAAATGGACTAGTTAATAGACTAGTTCATGATATAGTGAATAGATAAGTCCATAAACTAATAGCCAACAGATCAGTAAACATACTATTTAAAAAAACTAGAGAATAGACTAGTCAATATACAAGTTATCAGACTAGTAATCGTAGTATGTTTACTAATCTTTTGACTACTAGTTTAAAGACTTATATATTCACTATATTATGGACCTTACCAATAGGTTAGGACTAATATAGAACTAGTCAATAGATAAATGGACTAGTTGATAGATTAGTCTATAGATTAATCTTATTAAATTTACACGAAAGTTTTCTAAAATAGCGTCCGTCCTTCTGACATAAGTACGGATGTACACATTAACATACTTTCATAATTTTTCATACAAATTGTACATACATTGTGTATGTATGTATGGACAATGTACTCGTGCATGCATATTTAAGTTTTTCTTACATAAATATATAACATCAAGGCCCATGACGTATACTTTATAAAATCATAATCATACGTACAGTAGCACTCATTATTTATTTTACATCACTAAAGAAAATATTAATATTTCTTATCAATGATGTATAATTACACAGGCCGACAAATTTTTAATTCAGAGGCCTAAGCATTGAGCTGTGTGGAATCCGAAACTGGCCTCAGGATTTCTCCATCACATCTGTTATTGAAGATTATCTTGTCTTGAAGTCTGAAAAATTCCATTTTTGGCCGTTTTTGAGACGTTATAACTGCGTCAAAACGACCTTATGTATAAAATATTGTATGTCATCTGAAAGTCCATTCTTTCAGCTTTAAAATAAATGCTTAACGTCTGACATATCTTCTCTTTCTTCGAGATTGACAAAAACTGAATTTTTCTTATACTTCGCTTTTATTTTTTAAAAAAACATTTTATATTCAAATTTCTTTTTTCAATTTTTCCTATGAAAATACTTCTTAAATCTACTGTAGTTGCTGAGATATCATCCGTTAAAGTTGACTGATGGACAGACATTGTTAAATCGAATCAGAACATGATTTTGAGTCGATTGGAATATTCTCATTTTTGCTCATTATAAACAATATTTACAAAATATAATACCATTCGCTCTATAGTAGTGGAGGGTATAATGGACTTTCAGATGGCATTATTTTATATATAAAGATGTCTCGACGCTCTTATAACGTCCTAGATGTGATGAAGAAAATCTGAGGTCAGATTAAGATTCAGCGCTCAATCCTTTAGAAAAGTTTAACTTGGTATCAGGGTTACGATTTTTTTTTAAAATTTTGTTGGCCTGTGTTATTATCCGACTGACTTAACTTTGAAATTCATAACTCGTTACTTTAATTACAATTTAAATAAGATTCCGTTCAAGTACCCACGAATAGGAAAATGCATTTATCAGAGGAGAAAGCAGAATTTTTTATCTAAAAAAATTATTGGTTTTCACTTGTTAAATATATAGTAATTGTCTTAATACTAATTAAATAATAAAATCGAGAGAATTTGCAGTATTACGGGATTTCCTAGAATTTGTTATTATTTGATATGCGATATCAGACTATAATAGAAGTTTTTAAAAATAGTTTAGCCTCTAATTTTATAGAGCTATTCTAAATTGATGATTCAATTTACTTTATTTGAATTAAGTTCCATAACTTATTTATCTAGCCTATTGGAAGTTTAGGCTTTAACTAGAACTTTAAATTTTAATCAAAATTACTTATCTTTCTCTCCCAAACTAAAAGCTTTAAGCACCTAATTTTGATTAGAGCTGATGATTCAATTTACTTTATTTGAATTAAGTTCCACAACTTATTTATCTAGCCTATTGGAAGGTTAGGCTTTAACTAGAACTTTAAATTTTAATCAAAACTAGTTCTCCCTCTCTCTCTCCCAAACTAAAAGCTTTAAGCATCTAATTTTGATTAGAGCTTAAGTAAAAATTTTTAAAGCAAAAATGAAGGCAGTTATGTCGAATTTTATATAACCTTTATCACAGTATTTTTAAAAATTTTGTAATTTATCGAGAAAAATTGTTTAATAAAAAATATATTTAAGAGGATTTTGATAGACCTGACTATGTATAGTATACCATATATATACTACAAATTAAAATTATAGACTGATCCTCATAAAATTTAAGAAAAT